CATCTTCCATACATTACTGAATGGATGGCCCCAGTTTTATTCTGGACACCTCAGAAGAGAAGTCAAAGACAAAGCTAAGCTTCTGTAAGAAAGCAAACAGCTTTCCCAATATAGTATCCTCGAGATATGTCAAACTGCACCAGCCTTCTGGGTGGTATGCTGATGGGCCCCATCATGCCCTTTCCAGGCCCCAGGGTTTGGACTGCATTCAGACACACAGGAAGTAAGCTGGAAAATTTCTCATTCACCTGCTTACCAGACTATATAGGTGGTATCACTTGTGCTGAACCTAGCAGACTTTCTTTGGGGAAGTAGTAACATGGAAAGATCAAGGGAGCGTTCTTCATTCACTTACAAGCCTGTTTAGTGCTGGTGGCAGCAGAGTTGGGTGAGAGAGAGCTTTCTCTAGGAGCTTTGGGAAGGGCCTTTCTGCCCACCTTGCCCAAGTTGTTCATGGTGATGGCGCTGGGGACTGTAATGCAATGGGAGAGGGCATTCCTCAGTGGCCTGTCTACTCATCTAGCATTGTTTGTGGTGGTAGCACTCGGTCCAGTAGGCCATCCTCTGGAAGTATGTGTTGTGCATGCATGCATATGTAAACGGTCCTTTCCACTAGCCTGTCCATCTACCTGCCTCCCCGAAACTAGCAAGAGACATTCCTGAGCCCAGATCAATTGTCCGACCCAGTATAAAGTAGACATGGCCTCTCTAAAGAAACTTCTAAGCAATTAAACATTGATATGTAAGACCTTTGTGCTTATGGAGTAATCAACAGAAGAGAATTTCACAGAAGACTGGAGAGATGGTGGTTACTCATGTGGGGGGAGAGGGCGTCTGAAGTCTCCCTAATCCCTGCCATTCCATGTCTTCAGACTCATGGCTGCCACCACCTCACTTTCCCTGACCTTCCTCTGCTACTTCTTAAGTATGTCCTCAATGACAGAGAGACATCCTTGCAACACTTCTCTGCACCTAAACATGTTCTGACCAACTAAACACACCTTGCCAAGATGGCACCATTTCCTGGGTGCTCACATTCCTTGACCATGGTCAGGAGCCATGGTCAATTCTGAATCTGAGTTCAGATTAAAAATGGGGCCAAATGAAAGACCACTTCAACCTGTATGATCCAAAATGAAAAACAAAAACATACCCAGCACTCTCCAATACCACCATGGTGAAAAATCTGGGTTAGAGATTGAACCTCATGATCTAGCAGGGGCTCCTCCCAAAACCATAATGAAAATACAGGATATCTATAGGTCCACAGTTGTGTTATATTATTTGATGATAGCTTTGATGGCACCCCACATCAAAAGAATAAATATGCCTATGTCCAATTCATGTATTTGCATTATGGTACTGCCAGATCAGTAGGATTTATTATCATTATTCAGTCAAAGACAAGCATGAGGTATCACTTGGTGGTGGTCTGATGCAAGTACGGTGTCATGACATTTTCTCAGGATTCCACATGTGTCCATGAGGTTGGAGACCCCTGGCTTGCCATATCTTATGACTGCATAAATGTTTATTTGGAAGAACACACCACTGAATTCAGTGTTGTTATGCAGATAGGATTAAAGCTTGAGCGTACTGCCTTAAGATAAAAATTAGGATCAAAAACTTGGAAAAACTGTGTCAATGAACGAACTATACTTTAAGAAGTTGCTGATCGGTACTATGTAATGATATTCTTCAGAAATAAATTTACATAATACATGAATTAAGAATATGATATGTCAATATAAAATGTGCCTAGATTAAACTAACAGGTTTACAATGCTAATAAACAGTATGTGAAAGCTATATTTGAATTAGAACCACTGCAGCTTACTTGCACATACATTCATATAAATTAAGTTTCAAGCATTTTGTCTTTTCGCAAACCAGATTAAGATCAGAAATACGGCACTAGTATGCATGGAAAGATTCCTAGCATACAAGCTCTTCAAGTGCAGGCAAAATGCAAGTTTAAGTGAGATAATGGGTGAGTAGAATGCTATATATTCTTATACAATCATGTCACATTTAAACAGACTTAAATGTGATCTTAGGCTATTGGGTAGTACAGAAACATACTAAATAGATATTTTTCTGGCTTCTAAAAAGCTGGTATGTGGAGTATCCCAGATGCAGATAATATTCACTGCAAATCACTATATGATAAAATATTTTAGCCAAGATGTAAAGCAGCTCTATTCCTAATCTACTTAGACACTCTAGGTACACAAAAGGTAATTAAAAGGTTAACAAGTTTCTATTTGGTTTTAGATTTTGTACCTAAACAAGTACAGGATCCAATGAACATATAAGCCAACAACTTAGACAACTTCTAGACTCTTTAACTAGATCAGGAAAGCTCTTCTGGTCAAAGAAAACTCACTTATGTAGAATTCTAACATACATACTAGTGAATAATCCCACTGAACACAGCAGAATTTACTTTTAACAACCTGCATGGAATTGTGTAACAAAAGGGCTACTTCAGGATACTACAGCAGAGACAAATAATGACAGAAGAAATCAGGATGGAACTGAACAGCCAACCTTCTAGCATTCAAATTAGCTGAAAGTTGTGAAAGATGCTTGTAAACTTCAGAGTGGCACAAAGCTGACCACTACAGGAAGAGAGCAATAATACTTTTCTTAGTCTCATTGCCACATACTCTGATTTCATAAGCGAAGTTATATACAAAAGTATATATTAAAATACAAGCAATACTCTTACAGCAAGAGCTTATACACATCTACTAAAAAAATAATCTGGTCAAACTCAATGGGGCTTAATCCCAAGTAAGTACAGGATGGCAGTTTAAGCACCCCCTTAAATCAGCAGCTCATATATATGAATGAACAGGTATAACGCAAGTAGGCTTCCAGATGTTTTGGCCTACAACTCCCATTATCACTGATGATGGGGTGGTAAAGAAATGAATAATAATTATTATTATTATAGGCCATAACTTCTGAAAGACCACAGGTTTCCCACTCCTGATGTATAAGTTAGGAATGTATGTCATTTAGATGCCATTATCTAAAAATTAATGTATGCAACACTAGTCTATATTGAGTTACTAACAAAAAGAAGTAGGTGTTCCTTTGTCTTCTCTTCCTTTTTACTGCTATTTGCACACACACCAATAAGACATTTGAAGGCTACTACACAATAGAGTCCTGAAGCAACTGGATCTTTTATATACAATTTACATCATCCTACCATAAATCAGGAGTATACTACTGCCCATGTCTTCTTTTCCAACTTTTAAGTTCAACCATTTTTTAAAATGTTATTTTGTAACAGACATATAAAACCTGCAGTAGCAGTACAAATATTCTTCCTATTCAATAGGATTTGACACAGAATATTCATGTAATAGTTTTGTCGGCTTCATCAAAAGGTTCCTTACATAAGCATTCCCAAGCCCTAGGCTTAAATATTTTGATCTAATTCAGGAGAACTAATTTATTCCCAATTTTCTTAGAAATTCACCAGCAACAGAACTATCTTAATTCCATTCATGACTGAAATGAACACCAGGATATACTTAGACCCATTGGCAGCATGAAACCACCATCCTATAAGATACTTCTGTGTGCACGTAATACAATGTTATGCAAGTCAACTGAGCAGTAAACTTATCCTCTTTAATTTGACATACTTCCAGATGAGCAAATATAGGACTGCAGCTTTTATTGATAATCCCATTGTCAAGACCCCACTTGAATCCCATTCAAAGGCAAATACAAACCCACATGGTAACGAAATACAGTATGTACACCTGCAATAGCAGGCAAGTGCATTTATGAGTCAGGATTTTGCCCAGTTTCATATGTGAACAATGCATTTTCAAGAACCACTGTGTGCGGCTTGACTGTTGAGGAACAATTATAAACCCCTTCAGACAGCTCGCTCGCTCGCTCGCTCATATATACCTCTCTCTCATGCGGACACAGACTGATCCGTGAGGTCTGGCCCTTTAAAATCAGCTTCCCTTCCAGTGCCAGTAGAGGGAGATGAGGCTGTCTCGCCAGCTCCATCCTGACTCTGTTTTTGTTAAATGGGGGGTATTTAAATGTCCTGTTGTCAATCAAAGCGCACTTCCCCTTTCAGCCGCGGCAGCAGCCGGGAATCCTCGGATAAAGCTTCTCAGCTCGCTGCCTCTTCCTCCGAACTTCCAAACTGCCAGCCAGCTTCTAGCTCTGGCCAGAAAGCTGGAAGATCGATGCCTAGCCGAGGGAAGAAAGCCACTTGCGCCACCACCGAGACAGCCCTGAAACTTGCTCCTTTGTTTAAATGCCCATGGATAACCCCATCCTCCCTCTCAGCCAAGAGGCGGCTGCGGCCACCGCTCACGAGTCCCGTGGCCTTTCGATTCGCTTCACAGCTCCCACTTTTTAGTTCTTGCCCTCACTCCGTGTACACACACACAAAACCCACTCGCGCGTGGGTGGCGGGCACAACGTCAGAAAGAGTACGTAGCGCAGGCAACTCGGGCAGTGTAAGCCCAGACACGCAGGAAACCACCTTCCAAAGCCCCCGCACAGGGAACGGGACAAGACAGAAAGCCGCACAGACACCTCCGCCCCGACGTCTACAGTAACACCCGCTCGCGTAATCCCCTCGGTGCTTCAAAGAAACCACGAATTCATAAAAACACGGCAACTTTTCAGCAGGCTCCAAACTCCTCCGAAGAGCCTCCCTTCAAAACCTCTCCCGACGGAGTTCTTATGTAACTCTGCACGGGGGGAGAAACGGGAGAGGAAGGCTCCCGAAAGCCGCTTCCTGGTTAACCCGGAGCCCCGGGAACGCACGCACGCACCAGCCCGACACATACACCGGCCTCTCCCTCATTGTCTTCCCCGTTTGTTGTTCCCCCCCCGGCGCCGGGCGAGGGTCTCTGCCCCCGCCCTCTGAGGGGCAGGCAATGTTTTCTTGTGGCGGCGGCGGCGGCGTTCCCTCGAAGGAGGACAAGAAGCTGCCAGCCCGGCCCTTTTACCTGCCGTGGAACCAGTCCTTGCATATGTCGCACTCGATCATGAAGCGGCTCACATCGTAAGGCTCCCGGCACACACAATACACGGGGGTCGCGCTGGTCGCGGCGGTGGTGGCCGCCGCCGCCGCCGCGGTCGTTGTTGCCGTCGTCGTCGCCGCCGCCGCTCCGGCCATCTTTAAAGAACTCACTCGTTCGCCCGCTCGCTCGCTCGACTGACTGACTGAACCACCCTGCTCTTCTCTCTCGAGTCCCCCTCCCGCCCAGAGCCCCAACCAACAGCCGCCGCCGCCGCCAGCCCAGCCAGCCAGCCAGCCAGTCAGTCGGCAGCACCAATAACAACAGCGCGCGTGCTAGACGCCTACCGCGAGCGCGCGCGCGCCCGCTGCTGCTACCGCCGCTCCCTCCTTTCCGCCCCCTCTCCTCCTTTCCTGGAGAGCGGACAAACGGCAAGGACGCGCGGCGAAGAGTGACAGTCACGTAAGGTACACTCCTGAGCATGCGCCATAAAGAGAAGAAGGCTGGAGGAGGCGGCGAACACCACAGAAACCGAGAAGTGATGGAATCGTGCCCTGCTCTGTTACGTCAAAACGCACGCGTGCACGCGCGCCTTGGAAACAAAGTTCTGTGGCAAGGTGCGCGCATCCTTGCCGGAAGCTTTCCAGTTCTGGCTCGAACACATACGGCAAAGAAGGACGAGCACGTGCCACCACAAAACCACCTTGTCTTTCTCCTCCTCCCTCCGCCCCGCGCGCCTTTTGTAGGAGGAGCTCGAGGCTGAACAAACGGATAAGGTCTCAGGCACACGTTGGCTCCGCCCCATTTCACTCCTCTCCTCGTCTCCCCCTCCCGCAGCTTCACGTGCTGGAGAAAGAAGGTGCCGCGAGGACATAGAGATAAATAAATAAATAAAACTCGGAACGCTCCTCGGCCGTCGTCAGAGACGCTCCCGCCCTTCTCTCCCTCTCACGGAAATTGCCGAAGTAGCCCGAAGTTCTTGACTTTGTTTCTTCACAGTCGGCGGAGGCTGGGAGAGCTGTGACAGCGGGTCTGGCCGCGCGCAGCAAGGTGCCCTAAACTTGAACACTCACGCGGGTTGCTACGCTAAGCAAAATAGCTAAAGTGCGGGCTGCTAGTGCAGCTAAAGTAGCCCCTCCCAGCAAAACGTGTTCGTATATTTTTATTTATTTTGCTTATTTATATCTGCACACATTTTATTTCGTTTTTTCTACATGCTTCCACAAGTGGGATGCTATCTTTTAAAGCCATTGATTTGTTTATTTGTTGCAGTTTAGTTTACGGTAAAGAGAGACGCAGGCGAAGCAACACCCGCGCAAGAATTGATTCATGCAACTTCCGGGGATTATTCAGAATGTCTCAGTTGTAAATATCAGCTCAACCTTCTGCTGTGGCACAGATCCTAACATCGATGTCATAACGGGCCAATGTTTCCATGTGGTTGAGGATTTGTTTATAGAATGTACCGGCAAACATACGACATCGCTCAAAAGACAAGATAAAATTATTTGTAACTCTTGGGATTTCCCAACCACAGTTGTGCTGTTGTTCGGATAAAGAAGCAACGTCTTGCATCTGTGATATCTAGAATTATGTTCTGCAAAAAAATAAAAGTGTGGAAATCATCCATTATGAGCTATGGGGCAATGATGCACCCACATAAATGCTGACACTTCCAAATTAGGAATTAATAATTTTAGGGGCAACAGAGGTGCATGAATACGAAAACAGTGCAATCCTAAGCACAGGGGCTCAAATTCGAGTAAGATTTAGTTCTCAGTGAATGAATATAGGATTGAGTAAATGAACTTATGCTTGTGACTAGCAAGTAGTGATTGCAGGGCATGCGATAGTCAAAGCCAGTGAATGAATGTAATTAAATGCAATCATTAATTTTTTAAAAAAACTAAAAGCTCAGTTGCTTTCCTTAAATTAATGCTAAGAGCTTCAGAAAACTGAAAATGTGTCAAATGCCCAGTTCATTCTGGAAGTCTGCCTGTGATGGAATTAAAATGACCTGTCTTCTTTGGAGGCCAAAGAGTATCGTCACCCTTTGAATCTCCCAGAGATCCAGTGGACCAGCCTCAGCTTTGGAGAATCTACTTTTGTCCCTGCTGGAATCCCAGGAATTGCCAGGCAGAGCCAGGAGCAAAAGGTATAATTAAAGAATTTTCAACCCAGATTGGTTCTCAGTTCTGGAAGTGAATTGAACTCCGTCAAAAAAATCTGTTCATGGTCAGATCTGCCCTCCCAGTCTTTTTCTACATTTCAAGCATTATTATTGGCACAGGACGGTCACTTTGTTGTTGACAACCTTAAAAACTAGAAGTCAGAAATCTTTGCTGATGCATTTTAAACCACCCACAGAACTATCAGTAGATCCTGGTCCACACCTGTTCTGTACCTGGGAAGTTGAAGTGTAAAGAATTAGCTGAGAGAGACTGGAATTCCTGGACAAAAGGTTAGTCTTTGAGAGCATATAAAACTTAAGCTTGGTATACCACCAGTTCTGAGTGTGAATCTCCACTCCAGTACAGTAGGTTCTTCCTGGCCTGCAGGTGACAATTGTTTTGGCAAGGAGGCCTTGCAGAGGTACCTATTGCAAGGCACTGTAGCCTTCACAGACACAGATAGTGTGCCTGAATTTCCTAAAGCCCCAGTGTTTGCCCTATTTTGTTTCCTAAGCACAGGCCTTCTCTCACATACACACACACCCCTACCCACCCACCCCCTACTCAGAATATAAGAGAAGATAAAAGCGAAATGTGGAATCCTCATGGACAGCATGTTCCATCTGTGGCCTTGCAGGAAAAAAGGGTACGAAAGAGGCCACAGCTGCGACTTACTGAAGACCCAATTTCTTATGTTCATTTGAACCAGCTTCATATTCAGTGAAAGTGTGGCTCTTGCACTTTCAGTATTGTTTGAGCTCAGAAAAAAGATGGTGCCTGACAGGGTGAGTTCTGACATTTTAGATGGAGACTGACTGGATGATGCTGCCTCTGAGACCTGTCCTCTCTTTGCAACGTGACAAGTCCCAGCTGCAAGGAACTCTCCATCTCATAAGCCAAACCACACTATTCAGTGAGGCCAGCTGCAATCTGTTCCATTTTATGGTAATTAAAAATAGTGTTTGGGCACCTGGTAGGCTGCCAGTGCAGCTGCTGCAGATACACTAAGTTTGAATGCCTTGATGCCATACGTACACCCTCACCCTTCAGTTCATCTGGAATATGTCTTTGGCTGCCATTTGCAAATTGCTCGCTTTAGAGCCAGCTCAAGCTCTGAATAAGCAGTCTATGGATTTGTCGTGCGTAAGGATATTTCTAAAATAGTTTCAGTGCAGATTCAATATAGTATTAAATGCCTGTTCAGTACCACTTAACTCAAACATGGGACTTTCATAGAACTTTGGGTCTCTATCCCCAGTCCCTTATATTCCAGGCCCAGTCCTTACCTTGAGATTCAATGCTAACATATTCTCAGGGAAACAAGAAAGAAACTGAGCAGGTAGTGGCCAGCCAGCTCCAGGCACTCTTGGATGAGACGGAGTACTTGGATCCAGTCAGGGTTCAGGCCTGGGTTTGGCATTGGAGAGAGACAGGAAGAGTGTGACTCTGTTGATATCCCTGAATCCTTCAGTGGCTTTCAGTATCATCAACCACAGTATCCTTCTGGATACTGAGCTGGAAATGGGCAGTACTGCATTGGTTCTGTTCCTATTAGGATGGATGGCTCCAGAGGCTGGAGCTTGGGGGGTACTGCGTGGCCCTGTGGATTCTCCAGTATAGGCTTCCATGGGTTGGTCTTTCTCCCATGCTATTTTATATCTATGAAACCAAGGAATGGGCTCAGTTGGATTTCTGGTGTGTACTGTAACCCGTAAGCTCTGTGTCTCCTTTACAGTCTCATCAGGTGAGGCTGTGAATGTGCTAACCAGTGTCTGGCTGTGATAATGGACTGGATGAGAGCTAATATACTGAAGCTCAGTCCAGACAAGACTGAAATGCTGTTGGTGGATGGTCCCTCTGACCGGATGATAGGTGTTCAACCTGTTCTAGTTGTACTCCCTCTAAAGGAGCAAGTTTGTCGATCCATCTTTGTCACTTCAGGCTTAGCTATGCTGCTATCTGAATATGGATAAGCCTCCATTTCAGCCATCTATATTCTGGTAATCTCCTGAGGCTGACCTTGAAGACTGTTTAGAAGCTGCATCTTGTACAAAATGCAGCAGCCTGATTAATAACATATGAACATACGACACCAATTCTGGCCCACTTGGGATAGGCACATTATGGCTTTCCAGATTATTGTCTAACAACTCCAGACAGCCCTCACTATTGGTCATGCTGGCTCAGACCTACAGGAGATGTCGGCCAAAACATCTGGGCAGCCACAAGTTGCCTACCTCTGGAACAGATCACACATGCAACTTGCTAAAAAATAAAACATGCTAAAAAAAAAAAAAGCTTCCTTACTCATTATGTAATCCATAATGTGTATGCCCCTTATTATTTTCACATCTAATGGTTGTCAAAGCATTCACAACAAGATTTAGAGGTGCATGGTATTATGCTTTAGAAAACACTAACACCAAGTTACAGTACTGTGTGCACCTGTAAGTAAAAGAAAGATGACCCCAGGATGACAATACTTTGTCCAGATAGTGATAGTTTGGGGACAGTTTTCTAGGTGGCAGAAAAATACAATCCCAGAGCTATGTTGGGTACATGCTATGCCAGCTCCAATTTTGTTAGGGCCCTTGAGTAAGACAACTTCAATTGGGCCCCTTCCTTCAGTAAGTCTAGCTTCCTATTGTCACCAGCTTCTCTTGCTCCTCAGCCAATTTCTCATCTTTGTTATCACTGGCTTACTTGTGTGGATCAACTCCAGTGGGGTCTTGTCAGTAGACCCCTGTAGGGGTAGTGGCCCTTAGCAGGTGCCCAGTCATGCTTAATCTTAACACAGGTGCTGGGCATCCTGAACTTGTTAGTGGTGTGATTCTATTCTTGTTAGCACATGGCCTCTAGGACTGACTGAAGTGAAAATTTAAATGAACAAAATAAATTGGAACTGGCTCTAAACGCTTTTGCAAAGTGACATAAAATCTGTCAGCGGAAATGATGATGTGCAAATCTGTGGGTGTTCACACTCTATTTTCTGTCTTAAACTGTTAATGCTGGAGGCTTCCCTTTACGAAAGCCATACAGTATAGATGAA